CGCGCAATCGCAAGCCTCTCCCGCCCTACCCTCCCCTCACCCCCTGGCTAACCTCCATCCTGCGCACCCTCCCGCCGCACCTGCGCAACCATCCCCCCGCCGCCCTCGCCCCAACGCGCCGCGCGCTTTATCTTCTGCGCATCGCCTATGCCACGCCCGGCCCCGCCCGCGTCGCCGCCACCGCCGCCGCCGCCTCCCCCGACGCCCCGTCCTCGCTGCTCGCGCTGCTCAACGCCCCGCTCGCGCCGGACGACCACGCGGCCGCCCTCGTCGCCGTCCACGCGCTTGCGACCGAGCGCCCATTCCGCGACGCCTTCGTGGCTGCGGACGGCGTGCAGGCCGTCACGGCCCTCATCGCAGACCCGCCTTCTGCCGCGCTCCCGTCGCCATCGCACCAGCGCCAGAGCAAGCGCCCCGGCCCGCGTTATGAGCCGCCGCCTTCACCCGCCGTCGCGGACGCACGACTCTCGACGGATAGCCTCGTGTGGAACGCCGCCATCCGCACCCTGGCAAAGCTCATGGTGTGCGCGCCGGCCGCGTGCGCCTCCGCCATCTCTACTGGCGCGCTCGTCGTGCTGGCCGCGGCCGCGCGCCCGCAACAGCCCATGGACATACGCCTGCGCGCCGCCGCAGGGCTCGCCGCCATCGCCGCGTGGTCCGGGCCCAGATGCGCCGTGCAGATCGTCGAGACGGAGCACGTTGTCGCATCCATGACCGCCTTGCTGAGTGAGACCGATGACCGCATACCTGCCGACCTGCGCTCTGCTACCATTGATGGGTTGGTCGTCATGTCGTTTCGGAGGCATGCGCGGCGCATCTTGCAGAATCATGGCGCGGAGGCGAAGATCAAGGCCGCAGCGAGGCATGCCACCGTGTCTGGCGACTTTGCAGCTGCAGCGAGGAGCACCGTCGCCGCTGGTCAGATCTCGGGCCGCTCTATTGATGAGTACGGCTTCCTTGTCGAGGACGAGGCCGTGCGGAAGGCCCGAAATCGCCACTCGAGACAAAACCGCGCTTCCGGTCACGACGATGACGATGATGATGATGATGACGACGACGACGATGACGATGAGGACAATGCCCGCCCGCGTCGCAGGAAGACGGGGCTCATGCAGCTTCAGCAGCGCATGCTGGAGGAGCCGTACACCTCAGTGGAAGATCTTGACGGCCTTGAAGAAATCGTCCACGAGGAGGCCGGCGTTCTCAGTTCTCCGCCGGGCGACCGCCATTTCATGCGTCACGCCGTGCGCACGTATAGCATGTCTGCTTGCGAAGTCGACGTCGTTGCCAACCTTGCGGACAAACTGGCAAACGCCGATGACGACATTCTCAATCCCAACGTCCCGTCTGTGCCGAGCGCGTATGCGCTCGATGTGCAGGCGCTTGCGCAACGCTCAATCGTCGGTGCGAAGGAAAACCGAAACACAGCCGCCTTGGGGTCCCCGGAAAAGCGGAGAGGCATGGTGGACACATCGGAAATTCGCCCGGTCGTCGAAAGGCTTTCGGCAACCATCCCTTCACCCAGCTCTAAGGTTGGAGGGTCGCAACGTGGTTCGCGGCCCCTGTCAGTGCCCAGCGCGTTGACAGAACGTCACTCCGGGTCGAGTTTGCGCCCGAACTCGCTGCTCACTCCGATGCAAGACCCCGACTTTGATCGAAACTTCCGGGAAGTGGATGACGAAAGTGTTTCTTCCGCCGCAGGCGCGTCGAGCAAATCTAAGCTCATTTCGCCGCTGCTCATGTTTTCCTCGGCCACGAAGAGGGCCGCAGAGAGGGACGGCAAGAATAATCATTTGCAAAAGACAAACAGCCAGCTAACTCGCGAGACCGAAAATGAGCGAGTGTGGAAAGAGGTCATTGAAAATCGTCCGGATATGCTGCAACGGGAGCGAGGCCGCTCAAGCCGTGTTGCCGCCTACCGTGAGCTTGCTCTGGTACCGGTGCCACCACCGATGCGTCGCAAACTATGGCCTATTTTACTTAGCACCGCCGCTCTTCGGGAAGCAAAGCCAAAACTGTACTCAAAGCTATGCAAGGGAGCGGACGAAGTCACGCTCCCTGATGACATTGAACACACGATTGAAGTCGATGTGACTCGAACCATGCCGCTACATTCTTTATTCTGGGCTGGTGGTGCGCAAGTCGGGGTCCAATCGCTTCGCTCAATATTAAGAGCTTATGCCCGCTATGTGCCGGAAGTGGGCTATTGCCAAGGCATGTCCTCCATTGCAGCCGTGTTAGTAATGAATGCTGCAGATGAAGAAGAGGCGTTTCTGATGCTGGTTCAGTTTATGAGCCGGTTTCAGTACAAGAAAGTGTTTGCGCCAGGTTTCCCCTTAATGCTTCAGTGGATTTCCGAGCTGAAGCCCCTGATTGCGCACTACATGCCCGAATTGAGTGCACACTGCGACAGGGAAAATGTTTCACTTGAGTTGTATGCAGACGCGTGGCTCATCACGGCTTTATCACATAACTTTCCACATCGTCATTTGCTCCGTGTATGGGACCTAATGTTCCTCGGCGGAAGCCCGAAGGTGATCCTGAAGGCTTGCTTGGCAGTTTTGAGGCGATGCGAAACCCGCTTATTAACGATGGACTTTGAAACGATGATGCCTTTCCTGCAACGAGGGTTTGCTGAACCCGATGCCGGCGTGTTGGATTCCAAGAATCCAGAGCCATTCATTGCGATGATGAGAGAATTTCGATTCTTACCGGATCTTCCCAAACCGCAAGTGGACACTTCGCCAAATGCCAAGGGGTCGCCGTCCTCAGGAGGCGAACAACGGAAACGGAAAAGTGGAGGTTGTTTCCCGTGCTTTCGGCGATCTCAAACTGTAGACTAAATTGATCTCACCTTGCCTGTGGTTTGTTAGAAACAAGGTAAGGAAGCGGTGCAAGGCTGAGGAGGCTGTAGCACCCTGTACACATAATGGACGTGGTCCAGAGTTACTTTGACTTGATTGTTACTTGACACGAATAATCCCCACGACATTCCAAAAAGCCTGTATCTTTTGACTGTTTTCCTATATACATCGAGCTCAAATGGAGCTCTTTCGCCGTGCTTTATATTTTCTCCTTTTTGTTACAACGCTCCCAACGGAATCGCGATCGAGAGATATCCATGCTCGACGCGCAATGACCAATTCAATCGCGATGTCTCGGCGCTGATATGCGCTTAGAGATCATCTTCGGCACATAGACATAAATCATGCCGGCAAGGATCCCCGAAAGATGGCCCAAAAAGCTGACGCGAGGCCCAGCCATTTGCGCCAGCACGAGTTCGAGCCAGACGCCTCTCCCTCCGGGCACCGACACACCAAAAATCCGTCTCGCCGCTTGCGCACACCTAGGATCACTATTCAAGATCACCTTGAGACCAAAAATGGCACCCGAGAAGCCCACGACGCGGTTGCTCATCATCTGCGGCGCAATATCGAGTTCCCTCGCCAAAAACGCGACGCCGACATAGATGACTAGTGGGGCAAAGCTCAAGTAGACGATGAGTGCCAGAAAGTAGACGGAGCCCATGACATACTCGAGCGTGACGCCTTTGTACAAAAAGCTGATGCAATTGTACAAGACATGCAAATCCGAGCCATGTACGAATGCGGGGACGATCAAGCGCCAGCGTTCGCCGTCCAGGACTTTTTGCGGGATGAGGCAAGCGTGGGAGGGCGACGTCCACGCATGGAGACGGGCCAGGTAGGGAGAGATGCCCGGGGGGGCGAAGGGGCGCAAAATGGGGACGGCAAAGATAAACAGGTTAAGAATTATTATGGAGATGGTGACCGGGGGCCGCACGCCGAGAGAGGCCATGCGGTCCAGCAGCTGCAGGAAGAGGAGGAAAGCGTAGCCGCTCGGCTGGACACGGGAACGGTGCCGGAAGCGGGGGTTCATGATGGGGATCTCTCCTTGAGAGAAGGAGGTGAGGGAGGAAAGGGTGGTAGAGCGGTATCGGAAATGCACCTGCCAGGTCTTGGAAGAAGCAGGGATGGGCGGCTCTCGGCGACATACTGTGTACTGTACCCTTAGGGTACAAGTTGGTACCCCCCAAAGTTGAACACTGTACTCCGTTGTTGAACAAAACTAAAAGTTAATTTTATATTCAAGATTTAACATAATGCAAAAAACGATCAGATTGATGGCAATCCTGAAATGTTTAACTCGGCGTAGCTTCGCGCGAAATGAAAACAGGACCCTTTTGTCACCATATTCGGATTTGGCGATGCAATAAACACCTACATGACGCCGCACATTGCAAATAAATGTAAACTCGAGCCACCAGCTCATTTCCAAAACCACACACTGGCAGGAATGGGAAGGTTGCGAAAGGTATCAAAGGCAGACCGACGCTTTGAAAAGGCCGTCGCTGCGGTCGACAGGGACGGCGCCAGTCGCAGGAAAGCTGCTACAATAGCTGGACTTCCACGTTCTACTTTCTAATACCAGTACAAAAGATTCCATCGTGTCCAGACGACATTATCGCGGACATATCTTCACCGCGAAGAAGAAAACGTCATCGTGGAACTCATCAACAAGTACTCATCAAGGGGATTCCCACTCGGTCGAGAGGACATACTCGATGCAGTGCAGATGATTGATCAATCTCTACCGGTAGAGCGTCGTGCGAAGCTCCCCTTTATTAATTGCAGACCTGGCCGACGCTTCCTAAAAAAGTTATTGAACGCCACTACGACTCTATCAGCTTTCGACGATGCAGTAAGGAACAAGAGATGAGGTTCAAAGCACATAATGCTGAAACTCTAACCACTCATTTTTTGGAGGTTTCACGCATCATAGATGTACACAAAATTGATAAGTATCGAATCGCCAACCTCGACGAAACATGAATTTCCCCGAACAAGGATTGCTTCCAGTCCGACCGTCGAAAAAGTTTCGTCACTCGAGCGACTCGAGCACAGCTTCGCTCCTCTGAATTTAAGAACATCGAACGTGTGACAATGATGCCCGTGGTTTTTGCAAGTGGTTGTGTTGGTCGCTGTCTTTTTGTGTTGAAAGGGAAACGCCTCAAATACAGAGTTGTTGATGGCAACGACAGTGGCGAAATAATGTAAACGTTTGCAGATTGTTGCCCAAAAAACAGTATTGTGACTTTGAAAGAGTATGTAGCTGGAGTTGATTCTGTGAACTTTTACAACTGGGCAAATTTTTTTGTTGACGATTGCAAAGAGTTGACGACTCAAGGAAGGAAAAATACTTTTGCTTTTGGATGGTTATCGTTCCTATATGAGATTCAGGGCTTTATAAACGCTGGAGGAGGGTGGCATATTTGTTTATGCGTTGCCGGCCCATACAAGTGGAGTTACTCAGCCGCTGGATGTGAGAGTTTTCAATTCATTTAAAGCACACCTGCGAAACCTTGTGGAAGGTCTGTCGTCGCCAATGAGCCACAACAAATGCGATGTGTTCGATTTCTTGAAACTCGTGAGAACAGCATACGAAAAGGCATTTACAAGATCGAACATAACGTCCAGTTTTGCAAAATCCGGCGTTCATCCTCTTAATTGGAGAAGTCTGACCAACACGCCACTACCGTGGTCCTCTGAACACGCCAGTAAGCTTGCTACAGTACAGGATATTGAAAAAATGATCGACGAGAAACGCGCAAAACAGCGTCAATTGATAGGTTTGCAACCTGTTGTTCTGCGAAATGGTTTTGTCGATACCACAAATGGCTTATGCCTCACCTCGAGCGAGGCGCTAAGAATGGCGAGGGAGAGAGATGGTTTTTATACTGCGAAGCGGGCGGAAAGAGACGGAAGAAGGCAGAAAAAGCCGAAAAGGACGCAATAGCATACGAGCGCACAAAAAATGCTCGATTAGAATTCGAGAAGCGTTCGCTGCATGCCCGAGTGCTTAAGTACGGCGTCCCGAACGTTTCTGTTCGTCCTATGCCATTGACATGGCAATCGACGCCGAGACTCATTACTGCGAAACGGGAATTTGCTGCTCGGAACGCAGCACAAGACAGTTAACGAAATGGAGTTGACAGATCAGCGCGTGAGTGTCAGGAAAGACATTCTTGAGTAAAAAATTTGCATTTTGTTTGCACTGGCCGACCATTTGGCTGTTCAATTCTCGGGTGCAATTTTGCACAAATGGCGGCTTCAAACAGGTATATCTTTTCAAATATGACAGTCATTTTGAATCTTCTGCACGCCTATTGGCTCAAGTAGTGTGTACTGGGTGGGATTGTGGTTGAAATGAGACTACAATGGAGACCAGAAGTGATGCAGAAGATGTTTTCTCATTTATTGTTTTATTCCGTTCAACTTTGGGGGTACCAACTTGTAGTTTGAAGGGTAATGGTAGCCCCTAGAGGCACAGCAAGTTCGCTCGTAAGTTCTAAATTACCGAATGTACCGTTCCTGACCGGGGCAATTTGGGAATCGGGGGCAATTTGGGAATTTTTAGTATTACACTTCCAGATTCTCAAGAACACGCCGTTGCCATGCCAGCGATAGTATTACAATTTCTTTCGTCCTCCCTCGTTGCCCTGCGATGCAGAAGTCCGCCAAAATTCAAACTCCTGCAGCCCCACGGCGTCCCAACGCTCGTAAAACTGTCTTCTACAGCACTGACATCATGACTTTGACTACAAGTATTCGTGCGTCATGGGACTCTCCATGCGCATGCAGAGTGCAATCGAAAAAAGGGGGCAGGAACGCGACGCATTCATGAAAAAGCACCGGGAACAAGCCACCACACTCCTTCGTATAGGTACTAAACGGTCTGCCGTCGTGAAAGCGACAAATGCACCTCGCACAACAGTAGATCAGATTTATCACACCCTCCAGGAGCGTGATGAATCCAAACTCAACGCCCTTCTATTGCCAGAAGCCCACCGCAGAGGACGCCGCACAGTTCTTACTGAACAAGAGTCAACTTTGATAAAGAAAAGGATTGTATACGCGGCAGAAAAGGGTTCTGCACTCTCAAACGGTGATGTGAGAAATATAATGACTCATATAGCGTCTGACGGACGTCCAGGATTTCGCACAGAATTTGGCAGTCCGTCTCAAGACACCATCCGCCATTGGCGTGCAGTGAATAGAGACGTCACTTATCGAAAAAGTGAGAACAAAGACGTCGCAAAGTTGGCGGCTGAAGATTTCACCCATGTGTCAACCATTTCAAATGCGTTGAAAAAAGTGCAACATGCTAATCCTGGCATATTCAACGACGCCTCCCGCCTTTGGAACCTCGACGAGACAGCTGTGGACTGTCAATATGGGGTAAGAACTTAAGTATTTGGGTCCTCACGCACCAATCACGGTGGGTATTTGGCTTGGTAAGAAAATACAACAAGCAAATAACGATTGTGGTGGCCGCTTCGGCATCTGGTCGCAAAATTCCTCCCTTTTTCATTGTAGAAGGAAAAAAAAGTAATGAGCGGATGGGTCACTCCACTCGAACAGACCGAAATAATATGCCCTTCCGTGCAAACTAGTAGGTTGTCTCAAAAAATGTGGTTTGAGAAGGGAACCGTAATAATGACAACAGACAGGGGAAGTATGGAAAAGAGACTCATTTCCTTTGTGATAGAGCATGTGGATACATTTTTGAGGAAGACCCTACCCCTGGAGCGTTCCTACTGTGTGACTCTTGACGGTCACTCCTCACGAGAAGGTTTCGAGTGGCTCGAGTTGTGCAAGCAAAAAAGTGCAAAGTCGTTCTTTCTCCCTCAAACACGACTCACTTCTTGCAACCCTGCGACAAGGACATAAACAGTGCATTCAAAAAAGAGATGCGCAAATACCGGGACCTGCTTCATAAACAAACAACGCTCGACATGCGAAGTGTGCGTGCAAATCTGATGGTGGCGATGTTGGCTTACAGTGAAATCACGGTGGATAAGATTAAGGTAAGCTTAGAAAAGTCGGGGTTATGGCCAATGGACTATTCTTTTCTTAACAGGTTTAAGATATTAGCACCAAATGCGGTCACATGCTACCCAAAAGTGGCAAAGTCGCTTCCGTGAATGTCACAAATAGAACCCG